ATTAATGAATTCATCTTTGGGGCAACTGGTTAAAAACGGACACACGATTCTACTGTTGTGTTCTGATGTGGGAATCTAAAAAGATGCTGGACTAGATTTATGAACTCTGCTGCCTTATCTCCTGGAGGATAAAAAAGACACTTTGACCCTTGATAATATACGTCGGTTCTATAAAAAGACAACGTGCGTGCCTGTACTCTGATATCCCTCCCAGGTGTTCGGGGCTCACCTTGGAGAGACGGAGGCGGACGCGGCTCAGCAGAAGTGTCGACGGCAGGACTGAACTCCTTCAGCAATTCTCCCTCGATGCTGAACTGAACCACGTACTTCAGTTTCACTTGATCGGGACTGTACACCACGTACTCGTCATCCTGGAGCACAGTCGTGTTATGATATATCATACTTATATATATGTATTGTTATTTTCACACGAGACATCTTCCATAAACATTCTCAACTTTGTGTTCACACACCAAACAATTAAAAATCTAATACGCACATCAATTACTTTCACACACACACTCACACACACACACAGAAACACACACACACACACACCTCAAACTCAGAGTGGGTTTCAGGGGTGCAGCGGACTCCGTGCACACTGTGGTGGCCCTCGGGGGCTTGGGTCAGTGTGACGTCTCTCTTGTGGACGTCCCTGCAACGCCCCAGCGCCACATCACACACCAACAGCAGCCGAGAGCCGTCGGCCACACTTTGCCTGGAGTATTTTAAAGTGGTGCTGTGGACGCAGAAGGAAAACACTGAAGGACACAAGTTGACCCACACTGCAGCCAGCCACCAGGGGGCGATCCGCATCGTTTAGGATCTTTATTTACACATATTTGCAATAAACCACGTCGGTTTCAGATTCTTCACCGACCTGACGGCGTCACTGAAGTAGATTCCACTGCCCAGATTACCGAGGTCTGTTCTCTCTATCCCATGATGCTCTACTCCGGTGTGGGGCAACAGCAGACCACTAGAAAAAACAAAAGGGAAAATGTTGAGCTACAAAATAAAAGTTCTATTAGTCACGTGCAGTATAAACACACAGAACTAACTAGACACGATATTAACTGATTCACATTATGATTGAAAGAACTTCATCAAACATTAGAGAGGTCACTTTAAAACGACAACATCTTTGTATCTGTCGCGAGAAGTTTTTGTTTAAAGGTTTAGATAGAGTTGTGTGTGTGTGTGTGTGTGTGTGTGTGTGTGTGTGAGAGAGATCTTACCGAGACAGGATTCCTACAAAGTTACAGGGGCTCGATGAGTGAAGAAGCATGTTAACGTTCCCCAGCTCGTTCTTAAATGTCTCAAGCTCCACCCCTCGGCCGACTCGCAGAATCTGGAGAATCTGCAGTTTGCTGAAAAGCACGAGTGGACACACGGACGGTGAGACGACCGATAAAGAAAAAACTAAAGATGTCTGATACCGTGAGGTCTTTATGGTGAAAAGTGCTTCAGTTCTAAAACTGAATCTTTTTCTATGAGGAGGTTTGTTCGTCATTTTCTTCATATTACATTAAACTTCAGTTCAACTAATTAAATTAAGTATTTGTGATTAAAACTTTTGGGATGTTGGAAAAGTTCCTTGTTATCGTAGTTTTTTTTAAGTTTATTAATAAACAAAAGTAAACATTTTGTCGCTGATTCGAAAAATGACAGAACGTGGACATGTTGTGTCTCGATCGTACGTTACCTGTCCCGCAGCACAGATGTCACCGCCTGAAACTCGGAGCTGCCGGGGGGAACGGTCTCAACGCTGCACCTCAGGGCGCGGTACTTCCCCAGACTGGAGGGGGCGGGGCCTCTCAGAGACATCTCACTCACGCTCAGGACGTCTCGAATTAACTGGACGGACAAGAGAGGATTGAGTTCACTTCAGCCTGGACATGCACGAGAGACGGAGGCGAGCTGAGTTTATGGACGTTTGTTTATTTGGTAATTTTTCACGTTCAACAAGGAAGTTTCATTCTTTGACACTGCACTTCTTGAGTTCCTTTGTGCATTGCATTGTGGGAAAATACTGTCCCAAAATACTGTCTTTAGTGTACGAACACAAAGATTAAAAACCTGCTTTTGGACAAAACTGCTGTGTATATGCATCGCAGGCTGTATTTTTAAAGATGGCCCCCCTGGTGGCCGGCTGCAGTATAGATCATAAACTCCACCGCCTCCATGTTGGTGGATGGGACATGGACCAAATTCAAAAATTGACAGTACATGTGTCATACACAGATTGTTAAAAATCCATGAAGAGCAAGCTGGCAGCACCTGTATCCTGAATATGTTCACTTCATGTCGGCAAAGGAGGAAGCGGGGACGCCGTGTCCATCTTTCTTTGCAGATAAATGACTGTTTGCGTCCCTGTCTCTGTGGATGTCCACGAGTCGTGCATGTGTGTTTGTCTTCTGTTACCTGACAGAAGTCCAGTTTCTGAGAGATGTCCTTGGCGTTGAGCAGTGAAGCCGGCAGCCTGTTTGGCAGCAGAGTCAAAAACTCTTGCAAGAGAGGCGACGTCTCAGAAATGTTTCCCTCCTTCAGCTTCCTCTGGGCCTGAAGCAACAAGCCCTCCGCCCTGCTCACCTACACACACACACACACACACACACACACAAGGTCACAAGTCTTTTCTATAAACAACAGGCTGACCTCAGGAGTCCGACACCTGATTGGAATCTGACAGAACGATCCACGGAGAAGAGCTTACATCATTGAGGCTGATCTTGTCGATTGGATGGAAAAGGAGGAGGCTGAGTCGACCGAGGGCTTCGGTCCACAGCAGCTCCACGAAGACGCCCACCTCCTGCGAAATGCTCCCTGTGTTCAGTTTCTCCTCCAGCAGCAGCTGTCAGTCAAACAAGGCACGTGTCAATCAAATGATGGGATCATCCCGATCAGCGAGTGCACGTCACAGACCCCGTTCAGCCCTGTCATCAACATCCGTCCTGAGTGATGCCATCACAAGTGTGACCTGCCGCAGTTTCATTTTCACTTATTTATTTTTTCTGATGCTCATTAATCAACAAGACGAAATAATGTAAATGAGAAAGTTAGTCTGAGCTCATTTTCATCTGCTGAGCCAAACGAGTTTTTATCAGCCAATATGAAATGAGACGCTTTTAATCAGTAAAGACACCGATAGATAATTCATTTGCTCCAATCTCACTGCACAACGACGCCAAGTCTTTGGGAAAACAAACGACCTACGTGATGTTTTGCAGGGAAATAAGATCTGGATGGACGTTAATATCAGGTTTGACCATAACAACATCTGTCCCCCCGGTTCCAGATTTCACTTCCATGATGTCTTGTCTCCTGCTGCTGTACTCGGCTGGTTGTGAAGCGTGTGTGAGCGTCTCCATCAAACCAGCGAGCCTTCTCATAAACGCTTTATTGTTCTTGCTTTGGATCAGACTGTAAACGTGTGAACTGTAATGTGCTGAACCTGCTGCAGGGGGAAGGAACCCAGGCCCCCGGACAGTGGAGGGATGCTGCGTCTCGGCTGCAGACCAGCGGCCTGCCAGGTCTCTCTCAGCGCCTGGTACACATCTACAGCGTCCTCAGACGTGGACAGAAACACCAGCTCCTTCTGTCAGACACAAAACATGAGTCGCACACTTTTAAACTCTCGTCCCTCTGAACATAAACGACCCTAACTTGAAAACTTTCTGTCTCTGAAGAATTTCTAAACTGATGAAGAGGACATTCTGGGGGACAATTGAATTTTTGTAGGTACAGGACTCTAACTAGAAATACTGCACTCCTCAGTCAACCAGTGCTGCTTCATCTCCGAGACGCCGAGTTCACATAAATTGGACAGACGGACAACCTGAAAACACGCTGGTCGTAAATAATACGTTCAGTTTAAAGAATTTCATAAAGAAAAAAATCACATAAACACTTCACGAGGACAAATCGATATAAAAAGATGAAGCTCAGACAGTGATAGAACAGATGTGAGCAGAGGTGACTGTAATGACTCTGTTTTCTATATTAAGCTCACATTCATTACGTTGCTAAATTGCTTACGAGGGACATCTGTGACCTAACATGCAGAACAAGTGACACACAGGAGACTTCATACCTTCGCTTCTGCATCATTCCTCCAGCAGCGGACCACACGGAACTGTCGTCCTTTAAAACTCTGCAGCTCCAGCACACACCAAGTGTTGCTGTTAATCTGGAGAAGAACATATATATATATATGTTTATATATCTTGTTAGTATGAGTAATGATGACGACATGACAGCAGCAGTGGGGGGGGATCTTAAATAAACAGCTTTACCTTTTCAAAGATTGAATATTTTGCCACTTGGAAATCGTTGGGATACGATGGAAGATCAGAATCAGTTTCAGTGTAAATTCTGTGGAAGTGAATATTCACCAAAGAGCAGAGGTCAGTGATTTCCTGTGTAACTTGAGAAAACGAGACGAGAGTGAAACTCAAACGTTTAAATTAGGTCAATTAACAATATTTGTCTGAAAATTCTTGCTGCATTCTCGTCTGTCGGTATTTTGATTATTCGGCTGAAGGAGCAGACGTCTGCAGAGACTTTTCCAGACGATTGATTCTGTATCAGCAATGTCCAGGTATGGGTTTGAAACACTAGGTGGCGTTATTCCACCCAAATTAATATAAATGTAGGAAGAAATGTGTTGAAACACAGTAATGGCTTCTCAAAAATGTTCAGTGTGCAGTGTCTCTTTAAATCAGAGGAATCAAATAATAAGATAACATGAATATAAACATCACAGCACATCAACACTGGAGGGAAACTTAAAAACATCAAACAGCTAAAACAGGAGTCTGTAAAATGAATTATTGTGTGACAGTGTTTTTAGTGATCGTTTCTCACACCTGAACTTGTCCAGGACGTTTGCGCTCCTCTCTGGAGACTCTGCGCTCGGAGTCAGACTGAAAGGCTTGGATTTACCTCTGGGGCGCTCGACAGCCGCTGTGATCACTGGTACTTTGGACAACAAGATGTTCAGAATGAAACACAACACAGTTATTGCTCGTTCAACCTCAGGGAGCTGCACATAAACCTGCGAACACACGACAGGCTCCTCACACAACAGGTTTGAATTAGCACTCAACAACGCTGCACACACCTGATAAGCAAACACAACCTTTGTCCGACGTGACGTGAAACCTGCTGATTGAGTGTTTACACTGCACCAGTGAGGAAACACAAGCAGGAAGTATTGAGCCAGATTTAATAAGTAAAGACACTCACGACCTGTTTCTGTCCAACGTGCAAACAAAGGCATCGTCTGTGCTCGTGCTCATGAGTCACTGTGCTGGAATCAGGTTTGTGTAACTGGTTGAGACAGTACTACAGTACTGCATGTACACAGTGAAGGATTTTACACACCTCTACGTAGGATTGTATAAACAGACACAGCGGAGGGAATACGCCACACACAGTGTCTTAAAAAGCAACTACTTACTTTTGCTCAAGTAGAAAAGTTGATGTGGTATTTTTACTTCTACTTGAGTACATTTCTGTCTATCTGTTTGTACTTTTACTTCAGTAAAGTGTTGGAGTACTCCCTCCACCACTGATTAGGCTTAGAGTACTTCATCCTGCAATTTCAGCACGTGAGCTATGATTTTCTTGTAATGTGAATATTGGGATTGGTTCTTTTTGTGCTTGTATATTTATTGTTGTCGTCTTTTGGTTTGTTTACCCACATCACAACACAGTGAATTATGGGTAATCCCCTATGTAAAGGCTGCAGAAATGCAGACTGGACAAAAGTCCGCAAGAGCGCCTCACACAGTTTATAAATCCCATCAGTTTGATAAAAAATGACCAAAAATGTCAGAAACCATCTTTAATAAATGTGTTTTTTAAAGTTTGGTCCATGTCCTATCTGCTAACACGGAGGAGGACGGCTTTATTCAGGCGTGATGTTTTTTGGCTTCGTGTTCGTCAGGCTGTCTTGTCGTCCATCTTTAGTCGATGGCTTCGAGTGTATATATTGTGTTTGTGATTTATAAACCGACATTTCTAAAGAGAAACTATACCGTGATGTGGAGCGGGCCCCAGTGAGGAGAGAGGAAGAGGAGGTGAGGTGTCCAGTTTGAATTCATCCACAGGCAGAAGACCTCCTCTGTGCAGACATGTGTAAATGTAATCCACCCCCACCACGGGCGTCTGGTGCTTGCTGATGCTCCGCAGCCTGTTGGAGCTCAGGTTGGACACGTCACTGGTCACTATCAGAGTGCACTGTGGGAAAAAACGGAGGACGTTGCGTGAGTATGCTTTGCTTCCAGAGGGAGGTGGATATAAACTGGATCTACGACTGGAAAAACAATAATATGATCTCATCCACCGACCTTTTTATTGACCACAAAGGAAATGCTGCCTCCGTTCTCCGTCACTGCCGACTTCAGCTTCTTCTTCTCTTTGTAGGACAAATTCTTCAGGTCCAACAGCACAGACGTGTTCTCGAACACAGCCATGTCTAGAGGACAGAACATATGAAATTAGAAACGTACAGCGAAGCAGCATCTGTTCCCTGCAACCGGCTCTGTGTGAGGAAAGCTGGGTGGTTTTTTTTAAGGAGGATATGTTTTCTTCTGGATTGTTTGTCTGTTAGTCGGACGGATTCTCACGAAACTTGGTACGTGTCATTTCTTCTGGATCAGGACGTGGATCCAGGTTCTTTCCTCTTCTTCAACGTTGCAATTTGTTTTTGTATTTTCTTTGATTTCTCAGAGGATAATTCATGGACCTTGGTGAAAACAGCAGATTTTACTTGAGGTTCACGTTCAGATTGAATCTTTCCCAGACGCCCACATTTGTTCTGGGATATTTAATTAGCTTTGTTACAAGTCGGACACTTCAGGTTCACATCCATTTTATCTCGGGACTGAGATAAACATTCATTTCCTGGAGATTTACTGTAACCATAAAAACTACTTCCTTAAAAACAACCCCCACCCTTAACTTAAACTCAAGATAAGTTTAACATGAACCTAACCTCAGCTAGTGATCATGAATCAGCTGTTGTTCCCTGTATATATTATTTATATATTGCAATTAATCACTGACACACCCACACACACACACACACACACACACACACACACACACACTAAGGGATGCGGAAGTACAACTGCACAAAAACCTTCCACAGCAGTGACGTCATATCACAAAAACATTTTAAACGACAGTTAGTTGTGTTTTTTGAGGCGATGACGTCAACGATGACGTTAAATAAAGACAGAAGCGTCAGAATCTCTGAAACATGAGAAAGTGACGCGGCGTCATCTCACGTCATGTTTGAATAAAAGCTGATTCTCACTGTGAACGAGCAGCTGCTCCTCAGACTCCTGCGATTCTGCTCAGGCTGTTGTCAGATGACGAGATGACACAGAAAATAAAGATCTGTCAGTGTGTGTGTGTGTGTGT